ACCGCGACAAAACTTAAGTTTCTCTGCAACCACGGCACTGATGAACTAACTTAATTTCTTCATTACGCTCGCCGATGAAACAAGTCATTTCTTATTGCAAATGAACAGATCTTTGTTTCTTTATGTCTCACGGCGTTGTGAAGCTAATTTTGCTGCGTCAATTCACATGAATTTAACTTTGTTTTTTTTTTCAGTTCTCCCGCAGCTGAAAATAATTTGCTATATCGTTACCATGCACCAATTATTTATTACTACGCTATTTTGCCTATTTTTTCCTGACTTGTTAACGGTATTTTTAAATCGATGCATACACTAAGGCTACGATCGGTAACCATATCTTGCGGAGTCCTCTCGAAATTAGGGGAGGATAAAAATGCCCGAGATCAATAGCTGTCACTTTCTCTTCATATTTATAGTAATTTATTTGTTTAATTTACATTCTGGCATTTGTAAAGTTCATTGGAAGTAAACAACTCCCGATAATTTTCGCGCTCACTCTTAACCTTCACATTTACGAGCTTGTTGGCAGCATCAAGTTTTTATCAATTAATAATCTTAGTTTGATTAGTAATGTTTTCTGACATTTATCATATAGAATATTTAAAAATATGTAGAATATATAACATGATCTAATATTATTATTGTGTATTTTTGTGTGAGTTAATACGCTTTGTAAATATTAACATTTCGAGTAGCCCTATTATTTATATCCTGACGTACAAGAATTTATAGAGCGTCGAAAAACGTGTTGTCGAAAAAAACGAGAAATTTGTAATACTATTCAGTTCTTAAATATTCGTCATTACACATGTGTCTCCATGCTTCCCGAACGTTATTGACGTATGATATTGGTTAGCTTGTGTTTCAGCAAATATCAACATTTGAAAATTTTAGGCTCATATTTCAGCAATAAGGAATGCCTAATAAATTCAGAAATTGACTTGTTGTTATTTATTCAGGACAGCACGGATATCACCCTTTAATTGGCCGTCCATGTCATTGCGGTACAGAGACTTTGTACCATAAGGGCTATATGGGTACAATTAGATGTATAGTACATAAGCTTGCATAATTTTGATCGCCGTCGCCATGTTACTAAATAAAAGTTAACCAGAATATATGACGTGGTTAACTGCTGCGAAAAGCCATGTCGTAGTTAATCAATGCCACTCTGAACAATTCCGTTTACTCATAACATAACACAACACAAGATAGTGATGTCGGCGCTAAAGAGTAGGCCTGATGTGGCCTGTCGCCGAATCTTGAACTTGTCGTGACTTGTTCATAGAAGATCTAAATCTTGTCATTTGACCGGATATTTTCAAGACTGACGATAGTTTGAAGTAGCTATAATCTTTCTTCATAGGACTTGCCCTTCAAGCCTGGAATTATCCTTGTTGCACGTCTTTGAACATTCTCTATTAAATTTTTGTTCTTTTTGACCACACAACGTTTCCAAACTCTAGATTCGGGCGCACGACAGCAACGAACAACTGCTTCATCGCTTCTGCATCTAGGAACTCGCAAGAGCGTCTGATTAGTCCAAGAAATTTGTTGGATGTATTAGCTTTCGTTTCAACATGCTTAGGAATTTTCAGCTCCATGTCGACATAAACTCCAAGATCTTTTTCCACACCAGACTTTTCAATCATTACTCTCTCGTTGTAACCATGTCTTCTCATAGTGTAATTTTGCTGTTCATTTTTCTTCCAGAGATGAAGTACTTTACACTTGTCAGCATTAAACCGCAGCTGCCACGCATCAGCCCAGTTAACTAAACTGTCAAGATTATCTTGTAATTGCGCTTTATTTGCCGCATCCTCCACTATATTATAAACTTTTGCGTCGTCGGCATACATGGACCACACGCTGGAGACTGCTTCTGGCAGATCGTTTATAAAAGCAACGAACAAAATCAAACCCCAGGACGATTCCTTGTGGCACGCCACTGCGCACTGATGCGCACCTCGCCGCATTCACCGCTTCAAGGAGTTTAACATACGGAACTCATACATACGGAACTGCAAGATTTGCATCATTTGCAGAATATAAAGAGCACAAATATGCCCCATGAATGGTTCTTCCCATAGCCAGTTCACTGAACCTCCTTTCAATTTTAAAATACACGTATAATTCTAACGAAATACAGTTCCATTAAAAATCGGTTAATTACTGATGTCAGTATCAGATCATGATTTAGATTGTTCCACGAGTAAATGGACAATGTTTTGCCTCGTAATCGATCAAACGCTTAGTAGATAAATGACAAATCTTTGTCCCAATGGCACTGAGCTATTTGCCTTTGTGTGGGTCATCCTGACCCAGCATGGGTATCGGAAGTATTGAACGCTCAGATAAATGATGAATCTTTGTACCAATGGCACTGAACTATTTGCCTCTGTGTGGGTCATCCTGACCCAGTATGGTCGGCAAGCTGCGCATCAATGCTAAGTCCACTCTCAGCTTGTTCTGAGGGTAAGAAAGTTTTTCATTAATTAATATTTAATAATGTGAACCTAGCGTAAAATCGATAACCGGAACAACCTTACAAAGAACAAAGTTGATATTCATCTTCTGCACCGACTGAACTTGTAGAAACTAACATGAACCAATTCTATGGGTTTTAACTGCAGGCTATACGTTTCAAGCTTTCTATTTGAGACCAGAGGTTTTCGAATTGCATCTCGTCCATATAGTACAGATTTATGTAGGTCTGTCGTAATTTTTAGAGCATTAGACAGTAATTAGGCAGATCAAGTAATTTAATTAATAATAGAACGAGTTTTCATACGTGGGTGCACCACAGAAAGAGAATCTGAAATGATGAATGCATAGAGGAATTGAGTTTTTTATTAAATTTTTGGAATAATTGTAAATGCAATCAGGAAGTCCAGCCCTGATCTCAGGTTTCTTGCATCCGCACGGCGTTCTCAAAATGCCAAATCAAAATGTCTTGTGATGTCTTAAGGAATTTTTTATATAATTTGAAGGGCGGACATGTATATCTTAAATAGGGAATAAATGTGAAATATAATGTGATTAAACGTCGAATGAAAGAATTAATTTTCCTATGTAAGCTATATTTCTAGCTCGCACACTCATATAGGGTTTAAATATAATCATGAATGCAATTTCGAACATGGAAACATGGAATAGAAGGTTCAAATTTACGTACCTAACTAACATAGTTATAAACAAAATTACAGAGAAATAAAGGGGTTAGATCAAAATTATCGGTTATTTTAATTTCTTTAATTTGATAGACTCGGAAAAAGTTAGAGACAAATTTGATTTACCACAATCACGATCTAAACTCATATTAACTTGGATATGAAAACTATCGTTCATGAAAACACAGTTCATAATTAGTCAACGGTACCATTAGTCAACTAATATCTTTATTACTAATCAAAACTCATGATTCAAAATACCCACCAGAAATTTATATACCAGTGACAGAATGAACCTGAACTGCTAAAAATAATATGCGGATGTTTGTTATTAAAAATCGCATTTTTTAGATAATTTATAATATAGATTCTTGGATTTGCATCCATGAAGATCTTAATTGATTGGATCTCGAAAATGGTTTATTACTGATTTTGCCATTGAATTTGAAGTGTAAATGTAACGTGGAACCCGGTTAAAAGTACAGGGGTTGGATAGAATAAGAGTAAGACCTTAAAAAGTCAGGAAATTAATTTTAGCATTTTGTGGGTCGACATTTAATGGCAATTACAGCCTCAATTCTACGAGGTTTTGATTCATCCAAATTGGCAATAAAAAAGTAACAAATTTTTCAGTCAAACCCACATTAACCCTATTTCAATTAATTAAGCTCCAGTATAACACTCTTTCGGCTGTCTCTAGAAGCAAACTATAAGGAATTTAAAAGCAAAGAAAACACCAAGCAAATTCACCATATCGATATTGAAACCTTTCAGAGACCAGCTCCATCATCAGTTCGACAATTTAAAAATGAATAAAATCATTTTATAAGTCAAAATTCTAAGACAGACATAAAGCCTAACCAAGACCTAATATTATATCGAATAATGTACGTTTAAAAATTACTTTTTAAAGACAACACTTCCAAAGAATCCAGTATCTCCAATCTTACAGATGAGAAATGTCAAGCAATCGGGAGTTTTCTGTCACACCAGCACTTGCCATATATGAGCACTAACAATTTGGCCTCATTGAAAGCCAGAAAAGTTTGCCATTTTCATGAGGTTATAGACACGACAAAATTTAATAATTTCTATTAAAACATAAAATATCACTTAGCAGCATTACTAGATAATAAATTATCAGAATATGACAAGCTTTCATATTTTGAAAACATGTTAGAAAATTATGATCTCAAAATGTTAGACTCCGGCCCTTATTCTGTCCAGCCCCTGTATGTAACGAGTTGTGACTCGAGATTTCAGTGTTGATATGAAGAATTACCCATGTGTATTAGAAATTCCTGATAATTATCAGACCTTAGTGAAGTATATGGAAGTGGGAAAACGGTGTTCAAAAGCAAATCATGATAAATTTTAATAACAAATCTCTAGTTTAATACCGTAGTCATCACACCCTCAACATTTACAACAGTTTTTGATTGGGTAGATTGAATAAATAAAGACTATTCGATTATTGCCGGTGGTTTAATGATCATAAAACATTCAGTAACTCAAATTCGACGGCTGCATTTACTGGATCTTTTTGATCGCGCATTTATTTGGTTGATAATCAAGAGGTAAAATATCCCTCCAAGTCCGGCGGAATTGCTGCTCAATGATTAATGAGTGGTTGACTTGGGAAGTTAAACCATCCGCTAATTTCGGCGGAATCGTAACTTGGTTATTTGACGACTAAACAAATGAAGTTCGGCGGAATCGTAGCTTAGTTTTTTTTAACCATACCCCAAGTTCGGCGCAATTTCAAGCTGGAACTGTTAACTTCATAAGAATTGATATTTTGTTTGGGCCTGGAAAAAAAAACAATAAAATATTGCTTACTGATTTTATTCCGAAATAAATAAATAAATAAATATCTCGAGTCATGCTTACTGATGGCATGCCTAACGTATTTTTAGGAAAGAGACCGAATATCTTGTTTGAAGAATGAAGGCTTTGATGGCTTAATCGTATCCTCTCTGCTCTTCTTCGCTGTCATCGCGCTCAGCGTCTTCACGAGCAGCCTTGGCGATCTGGTCGAGGACGAACTGGGGGATCTCGTGGGGGAATTCAGGGGCCACGGGCAGGGCATCGGACTCGGGCTGGTATCCTCCCTCGGCGTTGGCGACGTATTTCAGCTCGAAGCTAACGGCGCCATCGGGGCCAGTGCCATCACCAGACTCGGAGATGTGGGTTCCGTCGCTGGTCTCGAAGTCGAGGCTGTACTCGCCGCTGGCGCTGGGATACACGCGGTCGTCACGAACGATGGTGACTTCGTCGCTGTCTGAAGGCTTGTCGGGCCTGGCGGCCGCGAGGGCGAGGAGGGTAACGAAGACGACCTAGAATAATGAGTTTGTTGAAATAACATAATTAGATATTAGTTCCATTTCGTCGTCTCTCCGTCTAATATTAATAATTCGACATACTCAGTTTATAAACTATAATTACGTTTGTTTTTGCTAAAGTAATGTATGGATGCGAGTAAACCAAAGCAACATGGAGCAAATACCCAAAAAATTCTGTCATGAGTTTGAAAGAATGTCATTAATATTCGTCAGATGTCCCCCTTCTCGGATGGCTCTCTTCTCAAAATATTCTCTTGGCATTTATAAAAATTCACAGTCAAGTTGCCATGAACTCAAATCAACTTTAAAGATGCATTAAGTTTACAAATTGAAAACAGTTCATTAATGTAAATCAAATTAGTTGAGAGAAACACAATGATCGCTGACAGAATACCCAAATCCAGCGTCATGTCAAATTAACAGTATAATTATTTCAATTCAGCTACTGTTATAACCGAAACTGTCTAGCCGCTCCCACATCGTGAATGACGAACGGTGGAATCGTGTATGTAAAAGGCCAAGTCGTAATCATTACCTTATAGCCACAAATAATCAAAATGAGAGGTGATAATGTTTTGATCTTCCGTCAAATCCAACACATGTACGATTCTCAATGTATTTTAATGGCAATTATAATCTTGAGATAACCTATTTCGACAGGATAATATGGACGGAACTATTATTTGATGATTAAGCTTGAAAATGTGTGAAGCTGGCAGCAAAAACAAAATAATCATTCAACATTGTATAAAATTTTTTATAAATGCACAACTCCTGGCAACACTTACAGCCCGCATGTTGTTTGTGAGAGAGCAGAATAGAGATCTGATGTCCGTCATCTACAGAGCCTGACTTATATTTGGCTCAGGAAGGTCATTATTTGAGTACACTACCTTCGCCTTAACCTTTAAACGGATATCTTTAGGTTTTTTGACGCCACAGATGCGTGCCATTTATGGGTTTGCATCTATGGTAGATGATGACTGTTTGTTGCAATGTCTGTTGCTATCAGATTGATCATGGTAAGTCATTTGGCATTGAAAATTTCACAGTAGATTCAGCTTGCAAGGTGGTGAGCAAGTGCGTCTATAGAGGTATAGTTTATTAAGTAAATAACAGCAACATCATAGTGTCGTATTTCTCTATTAAAAGTTATGAATCATCGTTGAACTTTTACTTAAAATTCAGTAGTTAAAAAATTTTAAGCTTTGATTTTACTGATATCACTTATTTTCCCCTCTTGGAAGAATTAGTTGCAACGCTAGTTCGCAGGCTGATGATACATTGTGCGATTCCATGAGACAATTGTCGCTCGTATGGAATATGCTAATTAAATGAGCTAACCTAATGATATTCAAAATGAAACAAAAATAAAGCTTAAACTAAAGGTTTAATTAAATCAGCAGATGGATAAATTCATTGTTCATTGAGGGTCTGATCGATGCAGCCACCGGTTAGTAATCGAGATGAGTTATCCTGCGCGACTATTCTAACCGATTCATTAATTCAGAAAAATCAAATATTTCACTCAATAAGCATGCTTAAGATTGCGCTAAAACCTGTACCTTTAATTGGTCAATATTATTTAGCACAGCGTTGCCAACTGGTATATTTACATACCAGATTTCACAAATCTGGTATGTTGAGACGGTGCCTTGTATGGATATTTTTGATCTAGTATACAGTATTTGCCAGAATCTGGTATTTTTCTGGTATGATCAGCCTCTTTGGACATTTGACTGAAATAAAGCAATATATTTCTGTTCTATTTATTTTTTTTCCTATGATACAATATTGAGTTTTTAGCGTCACTTGAGAAATTTGTTAAAAAAATCCCCTTTTCGTGGGAATTATCCCCCCAAACTATTGCCGAACTGAGTCTTTATGTACGGTCCACGGAAGGAAAGTTAATGTAAATTTTGAAGTCTAAATCCACTGGCAAGACCGAATTTCTTTTTTATTTCAATTTTCATACGTTTCCTGAATTGGATCAAACTAAGACGCATCATCGAAAATATTTACAATGATATTTAACTGAATGGTACTTCTAGCGAACTGCAGTTTTAACAGCATATAGTAAAGAGTTTGTTTCTCAAATTACAAAGTAAAATACATTAATACTCAAGCTTTGAGATGCACACTCGAAAATTTTGATCGTAAGCCATTTAAAATATTGTGCTAGTAACTATGCAAAAATATGTATGAAAATATATTTAGATGAAATCTAATGAAGCAATACAATTTACAAATAAAATACACTAAAATATGTTTACAAAGGTCAGAAAAATTTAATAATGTTTACCAGTAAAATTGACCAGTCAAATAAACTTCTATGAATTGATAATAAAATGGGAATTAAAACGTGGTAGTAAAATACTCTAAAATTATACAAATTAACTGCAGCTAGTTTCGCCTCTGGTGTTGGAGCTTCCCCAAGGCAGGCAGTAAGCCATGTTTTTTATAGTGTCACAATGTTACAAAACAATGGAAAAAATAAATATAATATGTCCAATTCCGCTAATTCTATTTTGAGCCAAGAAATATTAATTAGGATAAAAATGACTTTTCTTGTTCTAACCACTTTTCTCACGAATAGATTCATTAAATTTGGGGGTAATAATGCGTTTTGAACGAGAAAAATGTCTGGTATATTTCTGGTACTACTCTGAACTTGGCAATCTGATCTACTCGGAGAGAAAAAAGTTGGCAAAGCTGATTTAGCATGCATGAGCATATCTTGTTGTAATACTTTATTCTCATATGTTATTTGATTTGTAATAAAACTCGGAAGATATTTGCTATTTTCACTTCAATCTCACTTTCACGATTAGTGAAGACAAGAGAAATATGAAAGGACGTAGGTTAATTTTTACATAGTATCACCCCTTTGACTTCATGAATTTGATGCAGAACAACAGTTAATCGAGATAAAGAAGATTCGAGCGGATTTTAGATAAGTGATAGCTAGAAGGTAAGAGAATATTGTCTGACATCTTTAACTGATAAAGTTATCTTTTAAACTCTTAACCAAATTTAATGTGTTTAAATTTTGAAAAATTCAAAGTACTTTTTTTCGGAAATTTCGAAACGTTATTCTATCCTGAGTTATATGCTATGGGTTGCGGAAGCATTTGTTTGATGAACATTTTGCTAGTTAGTAAAGGAAATAATCCTTATTAGTTTCTTTAATCCAATGATATACTGAAATTCGGAAAGAAGTGTCGAAAAATCGAGTACGTTTCTTTCAAATTCAGATAACTAGAAGCAAAAATTGAACCAAAATTCGCTGGAAGTTCCAATGGCTGCTCAGTAATTTATAAGTTACAATATTCATTGCAAGTCTATCTCGCTAGAGTTCAAGGAAAGTTTGATTTTAAAACATGTATTAGTTGTCTAACATCAAGACATAAAATTACTGATATATTTCTTCCCTACCGAAAAGTCAACTCGAAAACTGTTCCACAATTGTTAGATTCTATAACATGACTCATTGAATTGGAAATTTCTCTTCCATATTGATAAATCAGCAGCACACCTTCTGCAATAATACGAGTTGAATTCTTCACACACCTAGAGAAGCAACGTCGTGGTTCCTGATTCAGATTTACAGCCACATCTTCAAAAACAGAATTGACAACCGCCAAGTTTTTTCTGCCTCCATAATAAAATTTTAAGCATTAAATGGAGAAAATATAGCAAATTGAATTGATAGAAATTTTTAATATACAAATGTTGTAGATTTTTCATTAAGTTAGGCCGCCTAGTAAGCTGAGAGCATCATACTGTGTGTAGTTCAAATTTCCAATAAATACTGTTGGAAGAATTTATTAAATCGCATTAGGAAAAAATTCCAGATTTTTACGAATCAGGGATTTGAGGCTGCTTGCACGGCGTTAAGACGTGCTTCGCGGAAATGATAGCTGAAATTTCTTCACGTTATGTTTTAGGTAATGTCCTGTTTAATATTAAAAATGTTAAAATGTCCTGTTTAAACGAATTCGACGAATAAGATAAAATTTAGGCGCTCTATAAGATTGTCTTCTATAACTAGCATAAGCAATCGTCTGAACAAATGTTATACAAACGACATTAGTTTCAGTGTGAATGGGACGGATAAATCACCAGTTCTCATGAAAAAGTTTCCTCAGTTCCATATAATAGTACTTGCAAGTATTTTCATGTATCCTTGACGCGAATATCCTCGGCATTTTTAGCCAATCCAGAGGATCGTTTCTCTAAAACAGCGGAGGAATATTTATTCATATCATAAATTAATCATACTTTCATGAGCAAATAAGGAAGCTCCTGCAAATATCTTTAATTGAAAAAACGACACATCTCGTTTAACTCTCATTTTAACTTCATCACCTATGCATTCATTGATTCATATTACTAATGAAGATAGGGTTTCATGAATCGAAATTTGATCTGAAACCTGTGATGACATATCAGTTACACAAGAAAGATTTTCAATTTCGGTCCTCGTGGCAATAGATAGCTCATGATATAATTTACATTGGAATAAATGAATCTAATATTTTTGCTTTATGACCAATTCCGTACGAAAATGGGTATCAAGTACCTGGAATTACTCAATTTCAAGTACTCTTGGAATGATTTTCGAATGAGGGCGCATTCTTCGATCTACAAGATATTTTTTATTTATTAACGCGATTCTATAGTAGCTACTAATATTCGAACATCGATGTTCGAGATCACGATTTGAAATTTTGTCAGTTTTATTTGCGAAAAAATTTAAAAATTATCGATTATCAACGATAGTCTTGGCTAGTATAAATTTTCGTTTCATAATTGCTTACATTGTCAAGTCTCAAAGACCTAGAGTGCTAAATTTTCCATTCTCTTGGATATAGGGCAGTTATGCAAAAACATGCGTCTCAGAAATGCTCAGAATGATCATTGCGCTGAAATGGTCTAAAATTATTTTTTAGATCAATATATTCTTAAAATTATTTACCCTTGCGTGTAATAAATCTGGTGTGCTTATTTATACTTCTAAACTATATTGTGCCCGTGAATTTTTCGTTGCAAAGCCTAAATGATGGAAGGAATAAAACTATTAGTAAGTTCGCAATTTATTTATAAATAAATAAATAATGACAGACATGCAAGATTTTCGATGTACATTCGAATTCAGAATTCGTGAATCGTAGGTGGGGGAAAATGACTAATGGTTTGGCAGATCTGCTTATTCGTAAGAGCGCTCATCGCTGTTGTCGCGGTTGCGGTCTTCCTCGGCAGCCTTGGCGATCTGGTCGAGGACGAACTGGGGGATCTCGTGGGGGAATTCAGGGGCCACGGGCAGGGCATCGGACTCTGGCTGGTATCCTCCCTCGGCGTTGGCGACGTATTTCAGCTCGAAGCTCTCACCGTCGGGGTGGACGAAGCGGACGGTTCCCTGGGTCTCGACGGCGCCATCGGGGCCAGTGCCATCACCAGACTCGGAGATGTGGGTTCCGTCGCTGGTCTCGAAGTCGAGGCTGTACTCGCCGCTGGCGCTGGGGTACACGCGGTCGTCACGAACGATGGTGACTTCGTCGCTGTCTGAGGGCTTGTCGGGCCTGGCGGCCGCGAGGGCGAGGAGGGTAACGAAGATGATCTGAGAAAGTGCATATGTTAGTATTCTTAGAATAGTTAGGCAGAAGATGTTTTTAATAAAGTTTCATGAAGACCAGATAGTATTTCGGACAATTCTCTGATTGTTTTTCTCTATTTGGCAAATCAGGCTTATTGTGAGATTGGAAAGTTAGTAATCTTGTAATGAAGAATCCAGCCGATTTGAACACAAACGCTGCTTCATCCTTCGATTTCGGTCTTTGCTAGAAGTCAGATCTAATGTGACATTTTGGTTTTAGACTCGTTGAAAATATTTCGATCAGCATAAATGGCCCGGTTCCGATCAAAATTTATAAGTTGCGAAAGCGACAGGAGTTAAAAATATTTGTGGTAAACGTTTATTTTTGTAATATTAGATGTTATCAATTTTCAACTTATATCAACTTCTGTTGCTCATAATTGCATTACGTTGTAACCATCTTTAGCACCCATTATTCCGTGAGAACTTATTTGCAGCGAAATTACCTTTTCGCAATGATATGGATTGCTTGAATAGTAGAAATTATTGTATATTCATCAGGTAGTTTGTAGTTCGACTTTTTTTTGTTATATCTATCTGCTCAGCTGAAATTATTCCTTGACTATGCAATCAGCTGATGAGAAAATTTTTTCTTGAAATTGTTATCACCGAACGGTTAAGAGGCTAAAATAATTTACAGAGAGAGCAAGCAAAGGTTTAATCTAGCAGAAAATGATTGCGGCAACTATCCTATTGCACTGTTTCAAGCTAACATACAGTTTGCAATTCTCGTTTGAAAGTCTGTAATCAGCAGAATTTTTGGACTTAACTCGTCTGTCAGTCTACCGTGGATGCAATATAATTTTATTAAATCGGATTATTGTTCGGAAAAATTCCATCTCAAGATTAAGTTTACGCTGCAAGAGCATTTCATCTCAATAACGAAGAAGATAAATACATGTTTCGATATTTTTGATTTTAAGAAATTTCATTTGATTTGCAAACTCAAAGTTAGTTTCACGTGAGCATAGTTACTTACAATTTACGAAGTAGTTCATCCTCTCCCCAAAAATGTTATTTTAGAAAATTTATTGCATTTCAATTATTAAGAAGGTTACATAACAATAAAGTAACTAAAATATATCGGAGAACTTGAGCTGAAATTAACCTTGGTAATCATCATTTGGAATCATGTTCAAGTGACTCAATTCTAGGTAGAATTTAACATTAATAGGATTATAAAGCTATAATTGAGAAGAGAAATACGTAAAAGTAAGCGAGTTAACCCAAAGACCGCTTGGTACGTAAGTAAATCTCTTCACAGTAATACAGGAAGGTAGAGTGCAACTATGAAGAGAGTGGGACTGGTTGTAGGAAGCAGGTTGGTACTTACAGCACGCATGTTGACTTGTGTTGTGCAGAACTGGAGAGTGTCTGATGATGGCTACCGCCAAACCCTATGCTTATATCCGAGAACTGAAGGTCACGGTTCGTGTTTACTACCTCTGCCCTAACCTTTAATCGCGAGCGTTTGCACTTATTGACAGTAGAAAAAGTGTCCTCATTTAACCCCATACTGATATTTGCATATGCACACATATTTATGTAAAACATTTCTTCCTGATCGTACGAAATAAAAATTATGTTCTGGGTTGATACCCATTTCAACATTCTTCCAATATTGGCAATGAAAGTATTTCATAATAGAATTGGAGCATTTCACTTATTTGTATGATTTCTAGCTTATTTTATAAGGAATGATTCACCTGAACAGCAATCAACTGTGTTGTGTTTTCTCGATAAAACATATTCTATACATTTTTAAATGATGAAAACTAATGGATTACCCTATTCTTGTAATTAATAACATAATCTTTTCATTCCTAATTGCATATTATCCGAAATTTGTGCCATGTGATTCCACAAAAGATTCCACAATGATCAAACCCCCTCATTCATCTGATAGGATCAAAAATAATATAAAATATAACCGACAAGAAAATTATACTGGTCAAACACTCCTGTATATTCACTATTAACGCGGACTTTGCAACATTCAAGACAAAAAATCACATATGTACGTAAAAAAATTTTCTCGCTATACAGTAATATTGCGTGCCATTTTCCCCTGCGTCCATTCTGATGAGTTTACGCATCGCTATATTAATGCTGACTTAACAGTATTATGTTATATTGCAATAATATTACCAGTAAAAATAACCCACGTCATATAATGTACACAGAATAAATTGCTGCTAGTAAATTTACGCTGGTTTACTAAAATGCCAACTGAGGAGATCATTGATCTAAAACTTTCAAAAGGTTTAACAGAAATGAAGGTGAATAAAAAAAGCTACATAATAACTATATGACTATGATTATTACGCTAACTAAATGAACGTCAAATCAGCAAGTTAGAAATTTCAATTAAAATAGAACAAGTTATAATAAATCGAATCAGAATTATGGATGGACCCTATAGGTACAATAGATTTTTATATTTTTTATATATTATTTATATATAAAATTTCTGTTCCAGGAAACATTCTACAAAAATTGAAAAGCACTATGTGTAAGGTTAACTGGTCCTAAAAATTATAATTTTCATATCCTAGACTATTGACCTGATTAAGTAGTTGTGTTTGAAGTAGGTAGTTATCATCTACAATGTACGCCTACATTTACTTTTTGGGAATAATTTGTTCAATTATGAACGCACAAAGTTACGCAAAAATATAAATCCGCAAAAATAATTTGCATTTTACATCACAAACTTCCTGTGCATAGCTAAGTGAAAAAAATTCGATGAAGCTCAATTGAATTTGTGAGATGCAATAAATTCTTCATGACTTTTAATATTTTCAACCTGGTCACAAATTTTTCAGGGACGCTGCAAACAGAAACAAATTGTTCAGGAAAACTGCAAACAGAAAACTTTCTTTCTGAATATGTCACCTTAGGACCATTCATCGAGAATAATAATATATAAATTATAGGCAAGAAACTTTGTATCAAAATCGCAGTGAACTCCATTTACTTTGGGTCCTTTAAGGAGTCCCATACCTTAACTGGGCTCAATTACATTAAAAATAAATTGTAGAACTTAATCAGAATAGTGAACGGTTTTCACACCTCTTAATAAATTTCATTTCAATAATCGTATTTACTGGTAAGTTAAAGATATATTTTATTCATAACGTGTCACATCGATAGAATTGTGGCAATTTTCTCCTTGTAGCAAATAAAAGAGAACTATAAAGAAGCATACACATCGAGCTTACCTTAATTGATCAAAAATAATTGAAACTAAATCAAAGAGTAAAAAATTGTTATTAGTGATTATTAGTCTCAAACAGTCCCTTTCAATACATTTAAGAAGAACAGGCACATTATAATAAATGAAGCCGTTTTTTTCTTGACCAACCTATGCATTCATGTCCCAATTTTCTTTTACCTTTAAGTTTTTATCGCAAAGGTCACTGCTAAGTGCTGTATGGCATGGCGGTAGAATGTCATATGAAAGTCTGATGAGAAAATGTTAAGTCTATCTATCTAAGTGTGGAAGCACAAGGAAAAGCCAGGGAATTGTTGCACGCTAGTTTTTGTTTGAACAAACATGTTTACATTTTTGATACATTTTTCGTGAATAATTCTAATTTAGCAGTCCAATCCTTATAGGCGCAATTGTTTCCTAGTCCAATACTTCATACTTTGAACATGCGATTTTGTCAAGTGGATAGTACGGCAAGGAAATAATACTGAAAGATACAAAGGGTAAAAAGGACTAAAAGTTACTGTTGACTAACAATTTGTGCTACAGTGAAAATAGATTATAATAAAGCAGATATACTAAATTCAGTGACTATTTGTTCAGTAAAGACAGGACTCAGTCATTCATTACCATAAACATTAGGTACAAGAATCTTGATTGCCAATTTGTATCTCTTTTAGCAATCATGACGTAAGTGGCCTTCATATCATTACAGACGTGTGCTTCGAGAAGGTTACAGCCTTGACTGTGTTTTCGGTCTTCTGACAAAGGTGAAATTAACTTCCTGTTCCACTTCAAATTTTTAAGGAGTAACCTCGAAACTTATTTTTTTTTCTATTGGTGTAAAAAATACTCATGATGACAAGTTAGAACTCGTAGCAGAAAAGTAATGACCATTGAAATCTGAAAGTACACGTAATGAAGGAATGACCAATAGACGCCAGTTTAGTTCAGTAGCCGGAAGTCGATTGAGAATAGGTTTTTACAGTAAAAATATTAATGTTAAAATTCGTTGTAAAATTACAAGAGATAGAGGGCAAACTACATGGCTTTCGAAAGCCGAGCCCGGCTCGTTGCTGGGCTGCTAAGGACAAAAACAGTCTGGCGACTTTAATATAAAAACCACTACCCGCTCGTACCAAAGCCTTTTGTTATGCTAAATTCCTACTAAATATTAATGAAGGAAGAAGATACGCTCCTTGCGCATGTAGTAGCCACGTAAGAAATGAACAAGGAAGTAAATGCTCTTCTTTGTTAAAGAAACTCGGAAATCTTCACACTTTCGATTACAAAATTTAATGCCTACGGAAAAACTTCTTATGTGACCTAATGTCAAGCTTCTTCGCTCTCTCGCGATTTCAAAACCCAAAATACATATGCTCTTTGTTTCTCGATATCAACACATAAGCGTGGCGCAGAAGCTTGTTTTTCCTTGCTGCTTGCCCAACATGATTATTAATGAGGGTGAGGAGGTCAGACAGGGAGGTTCCATCACTGATATTATGTTGGGTCAGCCCACGCTGCTTCGTTGTGCAACCATGGCCAGTTATTTACGCACTCTTAAATAACACGGAGGAAAAAGGTCTTGACCAGATGCCATTCATGACTGCAGTGGATATAATTCAGTTTAAATTAGCCTGAAAATGAAAGCGTGAATTGCTTAGTAACAATCCAAAATGAAATGAACCACTTTCGTGAATCATTATTGAGAATACTCGTTATCACTGTCCAATTTATAAGATCGCTATAAGAAATTTCTGACTCTGCTTATAGCATGCACCTTAGTTGCATAACGTTAATACGAATAAAAAATTTGCAGTTCTCTAAATTCTAATCATCTGAGCAGCCGATGGCTACAGTAAAAAATCAAGAATTTTATCATCCAATACCGAAATGCTTTGTTTTACTTATGATCAAATTTTTTGAAGTTTTAAATTCAAAAGCAAAGTATCTAAGTGACATTAACCGATGCGTTATCGCTGCATTACCTTCCGTCTCGCAAGCAGGGAATCTTTAATTTTAGTTTCCTGAATTTCAACTGTACTATACTTGCGATTATATCTACAATCAAGTTTCTTCGACCTGACGCTGTAGCTGGACGTTTTATACAAAGGTATAATGAACTTTTGTGGAATTTTCTTTGCTTTTTTGCTATTTCTTGCGGAGAATCTTTTTTTTTTTTGGGCATTAAGAATAATTTTCTGGAAGAGCATGTCTACTTCTCCGTCTTGAGTTTGCATGTAAATGGATTTAATTGATAAAATTATTACTCCGAATGAGAAAATAATCTCTAGCATGTATACGATTTGTATTAAGATTTTTTTTCGTTAATAAGGAAACAGCCGCTGTCTCGTTAACACTTCGTCAGGCCTTAGTTTTTCAGCACCGGTATTTTTTGGAACAATCTAGGTATAGATTTGATTTAACTGTTTCTTAGGCTTGAATTAACGAAGCATTCTAGTAGCTGATAATTTAAAATCATTTTTATAATTTTTTCAAATTGATTGTGAATTAAAGAAGAAGTAATTTCTTGAGGTATAGCCTAAATTTCAGATTATTATAGAAGATGAGAACAGTTAGCAATCAAGTTCATAGCACGTCTTGCATCGAAGGATTAATTTTGCAATATTTTATTGAACGATAGAGACTTCAAATTATTTTCCGCAACGGCTCACCAGACAAAATAATTTTAAAGTTGTGGAACCAGTTATCAATTATACCTACAATAAAAATGCGTATCCTCTATAAATTATAATAGAAATAATTGTGGCGAGTTTTCATGCGTCTTTTCCATAATATTGTTTTTTCATTGATTGTATTTTGCAATTTTAATTAGCTAACTCTCATGCAGCTACTCTCGTTAAAATAATTAGCAATATTGTCAATAGCTGGAAAAAAAGCTCCTGTCACTCGCCAGAACGAAATAATTCGCATGACTAAGGAGACATTTTTGGCTCAAAGTATTAGCGAGTATCTGTATTCGAGAAAGAATGATAAGAATTATCGTGTCCATGCAATCGCTTTAAGTGATAGCGCTGATTTAAATTATGTAAGTATGCTGAAGACAATACCCAGTTTTTATGTGTTCAATTCCTTACATGCTTTCTATGGTAGGGTCGTTCATATCAAAGATTGCGATGAAGTTCCAGCGCCGGAATTTAGATTTCTAAATAATTGTCTCATCGTGGAGAAATTTAGAGCAAAT